TTTTCCCCCCCTCGGCCGTTCGTCTTTCCACAATGGCGGTCGGTGTAGCAAGACTTCCACACCGAAGTGGGACTACGGGGCGGCGCTGCTCCTCTCTCCCTCTCTCTCTCTCCCTCTCTCTCTCTCTCACATTTGATCTCTCCTCTATCTCTCTCCCTCTCCGCTCTCGCTCTCTCTCACATTCGATCTCTCCTCTATCTCTCTCTCTCTCTCTCTCCGCTCTCCCTCCCTCCCTCCCTCCGTTGGTCCGTCCCTCCCCCTCTGCAAGAAGGCACACACACACACACAAACACATGACCGACTCCGTTGAACCCAGTCTGGTTAATACTAAAACACACACACACACAGAGAGAGAGAGAGAGAGAGAGAGGGAGGGGGAGGGGTGAGAGAGTTGATGTTGATACCATGAGAAAGCAGAACGGCTCTCGCGTTGTTTTTTTTTTTTTCCCCCGACTGACCTGCTTCTCGTTTTTTTTTTTTGTTTTTTTTTTTTCTTCTCTTCTCCCGCCGAACGTGACCTCTCGCTCCGTAACGGCGCGGGAGAGAGAGAGAGAGGGAGAGAGAGAGAGAGAGAGAGAGAGAGACGGGGGCCAAGTCTTCCACAGCTCTTTCCAAGCTGGCCCGCCGCCATCGCCCCGCGAGGAGAAGAGTCGGAATAAAAAACCGCCAGATTAGGGGGAGGAAAAAGTCGGAGGAGGAGGAGGAGGAAGAAGAGGAGGAGGAAGAGGAGGAGGAGGAGGAAGAGGAGGAGGAAGAAGAAGAGGAGGAGGAGGGGGAGGAGGAAGAGGAGGAGGAGGAGGAAGAGGAGGAGGAAGAAGAAGAGGAGGAGGAGGGGGAGGAGGAAGAGGAGGAGGAGGAGGAAGAGGAGGAGGAGGAGGAAGAGGAGGAGGAGGAGGAAGAGGAGGAGGAGGAGGAAGATAAGACGAGACTTCAAATGAGTTCCAGGAGGAGACGCTCAGATCAGAGGGCTGGACGAGGCACAGGCACGTGCACACTCTCACACACACTCATTCATGTGCACGCACAAGAACCAGACCAGTCCTCGGAGACGGAGTCACAACAAACCCGCCGCCGGCCAATCACAACAAAGCTCACCGGCGTCACCCGGGGACGACTCGGCCGCAACGCATCCCGGGTGAACGACGTTTCCGGAAGCGGCGACACTCCTTCCGATGGTCTTGCGGAGGAGAACATTCCGGAAACCGAAAACCGGTCCTCGTTCGGGCTAGTTTGTCGACTCGCGTGTTTATAAGCAAAAGTTATTATTTGGTTGACGACGTCACGGACGTCGCCGACGCAAGTCGCTGACCGTCACGACACAAGTCAACAAGCGTTGACGACCCCAAAAAACATTTCTTGCGACCCACCTGAGGGCCGCGACCCAGTGTTTGGGAAACACCGTTCTACAGAAAGTCGCAGACCTTCGCGACACACGTCAAAAAACGCTAATCGTAAACTTCTGGAAAAAAAAAAAATTAGACGACCCCAAAAAAAACATTTCTTGCGACCCACCAGAGGGCCGCGACCCAGTGTTTGGGAAACAACGCTGTACAGAAAGTCGCAGACCTTCGCAAAACAAGTCAACAAACGTTATTCGTAAACATAACGTGAGACGACCCCCATAAAAAACATTTCTTGCGACCCACCTGAGGGCCGCGACCCAGTGTTTGGGAAACAACGCTGTACAGAAAGTCGCAGACTTTCGCGACACTAGTCAACAAACGCTATTCGTAAACTTCTGGGAGAAAAAAAAAAGTGAGACGACCCCAAAAAACATTTCTTGCGACCCACCTGAGGGCCGCGACCCAGTGTTTGGGAAACACCGTTCTACAGAAAGTCGCAGACCTTCACTACACAAGTCAAAAAACGTTATTCGTAAACATAACGTGAGACGACCCCCCCAAAAAAAATTTCTTGCGACCCACCTGAGGGCCGCGACCCAGG